AAAGACATTCATAATAACAGTTGACTCACTCCGGCCACAAATATTGAACAAGCAGACATTTGTCAAATATTTTCGTTTCATATTACCAAACAATGAGTTCTAATTGAAAAGGTAATATATTTTAAAGTGCTTTTTTAAGCCCATTCTCTACTATTTTTAAAGACAAATGTTTTCAAACATTGTTTGCTTCTGTCTTATTCAAAAAGAAAGCTGAGTTATGCCGCTGACAAGGCCAAAAAGGTTAACAGTTGACTCGCTCCGGCCACAAATATTTAAAAACACAGACAGTTCTTATTGAAAAGGTAATATAATTTATAGAGATTTATTTCGTCCGTTCTCTACTTTTTTTTAAAGTTAAATGTCTTCAAACATGTCCCATTCAAGACAAAAGCTGCACTTGCAAGAGTTCTGCTCTTTTTTCCCCATTTCTGTGGACTTTGCAGCTTACTAATGGGAGAAAAATATTATAATTATTTTTAAATAAAAAAGAACAACTTTATAATTATGTTTTTTTTGTTCAACCTTTTAAATCGTTATTGTGGCCGCCTAAATTCACTGGACGTTTTTGCACATAAATAATTTGGCCGCCCTTCTCTGTGAGTCTCATACCAAGTACCTAAGTGATGGGCATTTTATTTCATTCATAATTTTATATATTCCTGTTAAAATAATTTCATTAACCAGAATATATTTTTGATGAAAATTCGTAGCAACACGGAGAACCGCAATTATCTACATACGCTTTGAAAGCTCTTTTAAAAACTTTTCCTAAATATTTTTCCACATAAGTACGTTAATGGGCTAAGCACTTAGGTCAGAAACAAATTTGTGCGCTGCTTCTGAATTCACTTTAGTAAGAGGTTTGCTTCAAGGGCACCCACCTATGATATATGTATGTATGTTTGTTTAAGCACCCATCCCCCTGCCTCGCATAACCCTTGCTGCGACAATGGGCAAAATTACGGAGCAAAAAACGAGAGCACACTATGCGAATGTCAGTGTCATTGTTTAAGTGTCTGAATGAGATGCGAGCTGTGGCGTGGCGGGGGGAGAATAAAGTCGCGCAATGCATGAATTATTTAACAGCGACATTCTTATGATAGACAAGAGGTGAGGTATTGAATGAGAGGGTCGCTCTCACTGTGTGTATGTGTGAGTGTGCGGCAAATAGACAAAACAGTTGACATTTGACATGAGCGGCATAAGCAAACAGTCAGGCAGGCAGGCAGGCTGGCTGACAGGCTGGCTTGCTGACTGGCAAATGGAGGGCTATGAATGATGGCCAAGAGAGCAGAAGAAATAGTGCAAATGCAATTTACGCGCACACAAAAGCCAACGTAAAAATGCGGGGAAATGATGAAATAAAAGTACAAGAAAAAAACCAAACCTACAGTCAACGTTAAAATGAAATAAAACGAATATAAAAATGAAAAACCGTTGTGCAAAGGAAATGTTGGTGAAAATAGTCAAGAGGAAGCAGCCATGTTGAAATGTTTGCTTGGACAGAGAATGGGAGAATGGGGAGAAGCTACAGGAAAGTTGGAGAAAATTGCATTAAGCGCCCAGACAGCGAAATAGAAGCACGTACCCGCAATGCGCGACGACTGTACGTAGGGAAACAAGTTTCGGGACATAGGGTCCCAACATCCTGACTCTGGTCTGGCGTATGCAGCGCATATCATATGCTTGAGCCTTATACCCGTATGCTGATTGTGAATGTGTGTTTGCATAATGTGCGTTGTGTCTGTTTTATGTTTTTGTAAATTTGGTTAGCCAAGCTTTTGACTTGTCGGATAGGTAATGCATCTGAATAAATACACAAGTATTCCAACCATTGCATTTTTTGCTTCTGCTTCTCTGGTGAGAAATGACAAATGGATTTTTGGTTAAGGTCTCCCATTTGCTCAGCAAATTCAAATTCATGCTTCGGTAGCTTTTGAAGTCGCAGCTTGTGTTAAGGTGATGAACAATGATTTATCGTGAGTGCAGCGTGTAAGGAAAATTCGACATTTTTGTTGAATTGTACATAAATTGTCCAAAAATATATTTAAATATTTTCTTTATGGCAATCTACATCTAACCATCATTTGTATGGCGAAATGAATTGAGTCTTTTTTCCGTTTTTCACAAATTAGAATTGACAATATGAATTCTGACAAGGTCAGAATTAGCCAACATTAAAAACAAATTCCACTACGATTTTAATGTAGCTAACTATATTGCTGGAATCAGATGATATTGCTTACACAAAATAACGAAGGCTATTTATTTCAGTGCTAAATCTGATATAACATTTCAACTAATGTGCCAACATTAAATACAATTTCAACTAGAATTTAAATGTAGCTAACTTCATTGCTAGATTCAGATGATATTGTTTACACAAAATAATGAAGGCTATTCATTTCAGTGCTAAATCAGATAAAACATCTCAACAATTTCTATAAATGTATGCAAATACCCACACACTTTATGCTCCTTAAACCCCTTTTAAATACTATATTTACCAAACCACCACAACCACTCGAGCTTAAATTCAACCCTTACCACGCCTTAATGAGCAGTAATTATAAAATTATGCTTAATTTAGCATAAAAGTGTCAAAGACTGCTACAATAATAACAACAACAACATTGTCACAACAGTTTGTCAATATTTTCCACGCTCGCTCAAAAGTATGCTAAATTAAGTTGTTTATCAGTTGCCGGAGCGCGTTGAAGCTGAAAAAGTAATTTTAATGAGCGGCTGTGGCTACGGCAGCGACTCCCCCAACCTGAAAAACACAAACCCACAATTCCCTTATGAAACATTCCCTGTGGCAACTGACTTGCATTTGCGTGAAAAACTAAAAAGTCAACGTAAAGCTGACAATTTCAAAGTTCTCGGAAGCTTATAATCACCATCTTCGTCTCTTTAGTCTTCGCTTGACGTCTTCGTAATTGTCGGGGACTTAGATTGTGGTCATCGGCACAACTTTATTGGCCATTGTCCTCTTCTGTTCCTTGTCTCGCCTCATTCGCGGCTCCAAGCATCATAAAAATAAATGTTAATTTCTAATGAATGCTGGCCATGTTTGGCTTAAATGTTCTTAAAACTTTATTATACAAATGTCATTAAATATTTAAGTAATGACAACTCAAGGTACGGTTGTTCTTGACGATGCTCTCGGCATTGCACGATGGGATAAATTACAGAAAAAGCGAGCAATATATAATTACAGTCGTAATGGAAGCTGTTTCATAGTTCAGTAGTAGAACTTGTTGTTACTTTTGTTTTAATAAAACCACAAATTCTTTCTCTAATATGGTGTCCCTTAACATAATGGAGTGAATTTTAGGAGCAATTTTGATTTGTTGAATTTAAAATAACAAAATATATAGAAATTGACGGACATAAAATTAGGTGCTGCGATGTTTTCATACACAGCTTAGAATAGGGAGTAAAATTGAAATGAAAGTGCAGACTTTTTGAGCTACTTGCTTTGTATATTGCCCCACTGTGCAGTGCAAAGTAGCGGAAGTTGTGCCACCTTTTAGCTTTGTTTATTTGTTTGAAGTTGTCTGCCTGCTGTCTAAATTGTCTTGCTGTTGATTTTACTTAATTACGACAAAATGACAGAAAACTTTCAAGATGAAAAGTTACCATCTTGTGGCATCTGTCACAGCCACACTTTGCCGTTAGTCCATTTAATACCGAAGCAGTGTGCAGACATACTCGTATCGTGCAAAATATTTGCATAAACAATATTTGAACCACGCTTCCCACATTCGGCATTTATTCGAGACACTTAAACGTGTTCAATAAAAATTCAATGTTATTGCCAAAGCAGCTCTGGGACCGTCCACTTGATGCAACCAATGATGGCAACGGCTGCCCAAGTGGCGCACAAAGTGTGACAAAAATAAACATGCGCACCACCCAGGTGGTGGGAGAAAGCAGGCGCCTTTGTTGTAGCTGGGTGCGTGTGTATTGAGGTAAAGGCTGAAAGTAAGCAGGCAAACAAAAACTACAACAATGTCGAGCACAACAATGGCGTGCTACAACAACAGCGAACAAACAATGGCGAGCAAGTCAACGTCACAGCTGTTGGCAATGTTTCTACTTTTTGCATACGAGTATGTAAATTTTTAAAGCAGCTTTTAGGCGCATGTCGAAATTTCTCTGCGTTGAATAGAAATGGATTTGTGAACGAACGAACAAACATTAAAGCGCACAGCATTTTCATATTCTGAGTTAAAATTGTGCTATTTTTATAATGGGCTTTGCAAGAAAAATCGCCTGAAAGCTAGCTTCAGATTTAAGTCAACAGCTTGGATGCTATCAAATTTAATTGAGCCTATAATCGAGCTGTGCCCAGGGCAGCAATGCGAATGTCTTTAAAAGCGGCATCGTATTATGCAAATGTCCATGTTTTTCTGCCTGCATAACTAGAAATGAGTGTTAATGATGTCGTGTAGCTCGGACAAGCATTAATTTTCAACTTTCGTCTGAAACTGCCCAAGCGTTTTGACCTGTGAAGCGAATGGCTAACTTTTTTTTAATATTTTCCTCCTGCTATGCTACGCTTTGTGCGCTTCTCTATGCTTTTATTAAAATATGCATACATTTTGCTCCTCTCTCTTACTGGTTTTGTCTGCTGGTTTTTTAAGGCTTGAGTGATTTTGTAGAATGAAGGCCGAAGTCTTTTATTTTTAGGTTGTACATATTTAGAACATTATGCTAAATATATACAATTTCAAATTATTATGCAGTGGAAAGGTAAATTAAAAAGATGTCAACACAAATTCTGACGGCAGGGGAATTGATAATTATAATTGTTGTTGTTGAGTTATATTTAGAAACAAATATCTTAAATGAAAAGGTAAATTAAATATCTGCCAAATTGTTGCCAAGGTCTGCATAATATTGTTTTAACAAACTAATATAATAATATATTTGCATATATTTCTTTTCCTTTAAAATACGCTTACGACATGGTGGCTTTGATAAATTCACTTTAGTAGTATCGAGAAGATCTGCGCCCATTAAGAAAAATAATAAAATACGCTCCAAGCAGCCGCGACTGTCAAAGAAAGTGAAATTTATAAGTAAGTAAATATTAATTAACCCAAAATACATTTAATAGGAATATAATACTGTCAATGAAATATTTATTTAAAAATATATTTAAACGGATTTTAAATGCTGAACAAAGTAAAGCGTTTTTCTCAAACATCCTACAATATAACTTTAACTACGTTTATTTACAGTATAGTGATTTTTTTGTAAATTCATTGTTTTCCGATATATTAATTTATAATATCCGCAATATGGTTTTACGTATACTGTTTATATTTCAGTATATTTGTTCCTATACTATTCATATTTTTAGGTACAATCTGCGTACGATTTTGTGCCAATATCCGTTTAAAATGTATATTTTTTTGAATCTACTGAAATGCTTCGTTCTAGAAATTTGTATAATATTTTTTAAAAGTGTACTTTAATGATTTAATTGAAAAGGGCAAATCAGAGAAAGCAGTAAAACGGACTGCCCCCTGACGCCAATTGTTTTAAAACGGTTTCTACATTTTCTGACCAAGCCTCAAGCTGTTAAATCTATTTTTAGAGCATTACTTTCGCATAGGCTAGCTTGTTCCCAGACTTTCTAACTGCATAACAATGAGGTTTCTCCAGTCCTTTCTGATTGTTTAAAGGTTTCGTTTCGTGCTCCTTTTGCCCTCTTCCTGCAGTGCTGCCTAATTGCAAGGGACAAGTTGTGTTGATAGAGACTAAATGCGACATTGAAACTGTCTGATGGCCGCTCAAGATGGTCAGTACGTGCCTGAACTTTGTTACGTAATACCTACATATATAGGGGGGGGCAACAACAAAAAATAGTCATAGTAGAGGAATAAAGGCAGTATTAGCAGCAAAAACTACGCAAGCATGACAGCAATTTGCTGTCGGTGCCAGGTAGTACGAAAAGAAGAAGAAGAAGAGAAAGAAGCAGAAAGACCAACAAAAGCAACAAGGCACGCGAAAACACAAAAACGATAGCCGCAACACAACACGAGCGCTAAGTCCCGCCGGGCAAAGTTTGCTGCCAACAACGGCACCACCACCAACAACAACAACAACAATAAAATTGTTACCGGCCAGGTAGACGCCAGCGTTGACGACGAAGTGAGTCATTCCAATTTTTCCACTCCAGCCACTACGCCCGCCGGCCCATTTGGTTTTTGCTTACATTTTCGTTGTTGCTGCCTTTTCTGAGGTAATAAAATGTCAAAATCGTCTGGACGGCGCCATGAAAATGTAGTAGACTTACCCACACCAAGGACCACCACCCAAAACAAAGCCACTAACGCACAGTGTGAAATTTTGCCAATAAAAGTGATTCAACGGAGAAAGAAAGTTCTTGAAATGCTGCCATTCTCATAATTGGTGCTACTAGAAATATGAAAAAAGACGCTGAACAGGAATCCTTTACATAAAAACAAAGAACATTAAAACGTCATGAAAGGCAAGGATGGTTACGGGTGGACCGAGTTGGTGCTTAGTGTTGCCGGGTAATTGGAGATCAGTTCGGAGAACGGTTTAATACTCCAGCAGTGCGTTGGAGCAGGAGGTTTACCGCCTCTTTCAATGTATGTATGTTACCAGTGTTGGAGCGTAGGAGCAGTGGTGTTCCAGCATTTCTATCACGTCCGGTTCCTTGTTGTAATGTCCAGCTTTGAGGAGAGGCAGCTTCTAGGCAGGGACCTGCCTCTCTTCGCTTGATTTATTAATAATTAGTGTTGCAAAAGATGAAGATTTGCGAACGGAGTCTAATAGAAACTGAGACCTAAAATCATACCCCGTTTCGTCTTTGAATATTAAATAATAGAAAATAAACAATATTAGTTTTTGCATCTTCTAAGTTCATTAATTTGATAATTAGAAACAAACAACAACAAATTTAAATTATACACTATATAACTGTGTTTTCAATAAGCTCCTTGCTGGCTAAGCTATTATTCTTACACGACATCGAAAAATATTGTTGTTGGAGGGTTTCCGCATTAGTTAATGAGAAACAAAAAACTATTTCATGTATGTGCTTTCTGAAAAAGGACTTTTTATTTTCTATAAAGAAACTATTTCATATATGTGCTTTTTGAAAAAGTATTTTTATTTTCTATAAACATTTTCTATTCACACCAATTGCCCAAAACTGAACACTGTGCAACGGTTTAGACCACAGAGGGGGGGAGGGGAGTGAGTAAACGTATTATTTTCTGTGTTGTACGTGTAGCTGACCGTATTAAATTAATTTGTTATTGTTGTAACATTTTAAATACTTGGCTAATGTTGTAGAGATTTTCATTTTAACGCGATTTTTTCGACTTTGTTTCCTTTACATTTTATGTGCTGGGTGTTGGTAAGCCGATATTATGGTACGTTTGGGCAACTAATTGCACTGGAGGGCTCCGAGATACGGGTACATATGTATGTGTACGTACAGACATCAGTTAATTGTCTGACCAAGGGGACAACGTTTTTTTTTTTTTTTTGTGGCTATGAGGGCTTCTGAGAAGTTGTAATTAAGAGTGCAGGTGAACAACGAGATTGGCAAAAGTGTCACGCCTGATAAATGAGCCCTAACAATAGCCTAAAAGTACTTACAAGTAGATGTATGTATGTACAATATAGAGCATGTTGAATGAAGCTGCACAGTCTATAAAAGATATCAATCAGGGATGATATTAGGCGGGGTGGGAAAACATATTTCCTTACAGTACTAGAGTGTCTGGAATCTGTGCACTTGCAACTCAAGCTCCCCAGAAAATGCAGAAATGAAGGAAAAGGGAAAATTCGCACAGATTTTCGCATTCATATTCATTATGGCAATCTGCCACATTTCACACTGCTTGTCAGTCCCACCCTTTGGGCTCCAAAGTTCATTAGTTTTCTATATATACGAGAGTCTTATAGCTGGCTACTGCCACTAAAAGCATTCCAAGACACATTCTGCGTAAAAACTAATTAAAGGGCGGGAAAATATGAAGAAGAAAAAAGTGTAAAGGCAGAAGTTGCCGGCTTCTTACCCTGTGGCTAATCATGAGGGTGTTGGCTTTTGTAATGGCACTTCTCGAATTTATCTTAACTAGTTTTGTTGGACAACTTTAAGTGGCCTCATTTGGCTGGAGCGGAGCAGGGAAAGCACTTGGGGTTAGTGCGAAAATTTCAAATGCATTTCAGCAAAGTAATGAATAAATAATTTCTTAATGCTTTGCAATTTCAATGAGAATATTAGTGGAAATCTGAAGGATATTTAACATATATAAATGTGAAATGTATATTCTAAAAAAGTTGACCAACAACTAATTGAAATTGCTTCGGACTACTCGCACAACAATTAACCTTTCTAGATTTAAATTAATAATCTCAACTGGTTAGTAAAACAAAAGAGCATGCAACATAACTATAATATTCATAACAATAATATTCATTATTTATGTCCACATTAAATGCGTACTAATTAAAAGCTAATTAAGTTAGCGACCAAAAAATATTTTAAACAATAATCGAGCCGAAAACTTGGCACAGCAGCGGGCAATGCACAGTTGTACATAAATGGTCGGCATTAATGCATTAAAAATGTAAAATGCAAACGTCAATAAACACTCGATAACCAATTAAAAAATAATAATGGTCATGGCGACTGTACAAACAAACACACACACATACAGACACACATACATACATACCTCTGTTTGTGTGCACGCCATGGATATGCGCCATGATTGAAGATTTTTGCGTGAAATTTATGCAAGTAAATAAATAATATAACAGAAAAGTTTACAATTACCGGTACTGAGTAGAAGGAACTTTGTGAGTGGCTGATCTGGAAAAATAAATTGCAGAAAAGTTTTCCATCAGATCATTGATAAATTTTCACACAATTCACAAGGAATTTGCAATGTTTACGGATTTTGATGGACTAAAAAAAGGAACTCGCTTTACAATTTCCTTGAAGCTCATTTTTCAACATCAAGTTTAAAGTAGTGTTAAATTCGTTACCTAGTAGAATAACTAATATTAAAGACTCTGAACAATAAAGTATAAGTAGTACAAGTATATATGTTAATAGCTTAAGTTTCTGTTTACTTTGTAGAATAGGTGGCATAACAAATCCCAGAAGCCAAGTAAGAGCAGAAGAATCTTTATACATGCCTTTAATTATATTTCTAGAATCCCGTAAAGTATAGAAAGTTATCAACGAAATTTACTATTTAGGTTCTTCCAAGACAAAGAATGTGACTTTTTTAAAAATGTTCCAAACTCTCCCATAATTCTTCAAGCTCAACAAAGTATTGTTTGTTTGATTTTATAAACAACATATAAGTGGAGAGATTTCAATAAGATTTGTTCGTGATTTTGGACTGCGGGCTGATCGTGACAGTTCACGACCACATCACTTTTATATAAATTCATATTTATTTTCCAGGAAAATAAAACCAAATTAAATGGTCATGCGACTGCATTTCAGGCTATGCGAGGACGACGACGACAATTCAATTACGCGTATGCGCATTTTTAATTAACACACTTTATTTGCTTTAATTAAGAAGCATTGCCTGTGTGTGTGCGTGTTTGAGGGGGCATGGTTGCCAAGTGCCCCAACTTCCGTTTTTAAATTATAAAGAATTCAATTAAAACGGAAGTCAATTAAATGAACAGCAAGTGTTAGTGCAAAAAATACTTGCGATCATTGGAAAACAAACAAACATAAATGGTCAGCTTTTCAAATCCGTCGCTTTTTTGTCCAACTTGGAACTTTTCACTTTTGCTTCGTTGGTTTATTTGTTTGCTTTCTGGTTTCTACTCATTGTTTATTGCTTAATAAAATGGCTCCGTTGAAATGTGGAAAGCGCTGCAGTTCCTGGCAACGTGGATAGAGAATAATGGTGTACTGAAAATAAAAACGGATATAGCGAGAAATATTGTTTATGATGACAAATTGTTTGACTGGGCTATTTGGCGACAAATACTACGTCAACGACGGGTTCTGTCGCAGACAATGGTGGAGAGCTGGTTGCTAAGCGAGGCGGTGGGGTGGGGTGTGGTAAGCCTAGACTAGCATTAATCTCGATTTTAGTTTGGCAAGCTGCCAAAAGGAGCAGCTGGAAATATTCATGCGATACGGGAGAAGCTAACACACTACACGCTGACAAAATGACATTAATTTAAAACTAGCTGATTTACTTAGAGATAAAAGATTACGTTGCAGTTTCTACAGCTTGGCAAGTTAATAAACAATGCCTACTCTGCTAATTCTTTCATTGACAAAATGACATTAATTTTAAACTAGCCGATTTACTTAGAGATAAAAGATTACGTTGCAGTTTCTACAGTTTGGCAAGCTAATAAACAATGCCAACTCTGTAAATTCTTTCATTGAGCTGCTGGGCTTGGCCAACACTAGATGCTACTTGAAAGTAATTCTTCTGTGTCCATTTTGATATTTTCTATTTTTAATTGTAAAAGTTAATAGATTTTCTAAAAAAGATGTTAAGATGTTAATACGTCATTTTATCCAATTTCTAATCTCACTTTCTATCGCTCAAAATGGCATCCAAATTCTAAAAATATCCCAAATCTAATTCTCATTTGTTAAAGGGAGCAAGCACGACCTTTATTTACGAGTGTGCTCTCTCTTACTTGCTCGCACAATTTTACGATTTTTTTACTCACGTCCTTTGCAACACTCTAGCTCTAACACTCTGCAACACGACTAAACTATCATCGATTGTTCATTTGTTATCAGTCGAAGAAAAGACCAATAAATATCTCAATATTGTGTCTAAATCAAGAAATTCCTGGTCGGAACACTGTTTAAAAACTTTTCTATCCATGTCAAAATAATAAAATTGTTTTGGAAATGAAAGTCAATTTTTTTAATGCATGTGCCAAGCTAAATCGATAAATGCGGAAATAAATCGAAAATCTTATTGTACGAACGAACAATTTTCCGGAAAAATTGTGGTAAATTCTTTTGAAACATCGACTGCAAATCCATCTCAGCTTGCTTGTTGCATTTAATTACAGCAGTGCTTTTCATAATCAGGGCTGAATAAATAAATACACAAGCTATGGATGCAAACAGCGAAATAAATCATAATTTGGATGTGTCAGATGACTCGCAAATGACGTACCAAGAACTAGAGGCGTATATCGACGAGTGTATTCTGGAGCTCGAGGAAATGCAAAGTATATATACCCAGAAGACCAATCAGTTAAACATATCGGATAGGTTTATCTTTCAAAACAAACAGATAATAACCGAATTAGATGCACAGCTTCAAAACACAAAGACAACCCAAGACGTCTTGGAGACGGAGCTGGAACTTATAGATGTGCAGATAAAGCAGATCGAGGAATCTTTGGGGCCGCTGGAGAAACAATACGAAAACATCGTGTGCGTGAACACAACGCGCTCTGACACCTACACGATGCTCGAAATTGTGAATATGGAACTGAGACAGAACAGCGAATGTATAGAACAGATTATACGTGTTCTAAATCAGGATAGTATGAAACTGAAAAATGAAAAACCTGACGACAAGGTTGGCGATGTTTTGAACAAACTGCTTGGATGGCTGGAATGGATCGATTCACAAACGAACTTGCTAAGCAAGCTGCTAGATGATATTGAGACACTCATCAGGGCCTTGAAGACTACATAGAGTTAAAGAGAGTTAAGAGAAACTTTATCTATCCCTCCGTCCATGCATCCATTATGCATTTTTTCAATTCAAGTTGAATTTTTTGCAACTAAAAATATTAATAAATATGTTGACTGCTTTCATAGGCAGTTCCATTTCATAGGCGTTTAAGTAATTTTGGACAGAATTGTTAAATTGCGTTTTCTGCAGATTTTCTTCATAAACATTTGGATGCTCGGTCGTCTCTTAGTTTCTCTCCGCGTAGCCCATAGTTGACACGCACTAGAATCTCTGCTTGCTTGTGGAAACTTTTTATGACTGACACAAAATATCAATTATGCAGCACATCCCTGGAATCAGTTGTAGCCATGTTTAGTTTGGGGCTAAAATGCTTGCCATGTTCCATCCACACACACACACATAGGTATAGCCCCAAATACATCAACTGGTCATGTTTGCGCCTCACAAATACATGCATTTGCACAAAATGTACAAATGGTGTGCAAATGTTCGACCATTTGCCGAGACCAGTGGGCAGTCTCCCACTCCTCCCTCACATCATTATTGCACATACACACACACACATATATATAGTATTTATTTGTACAATATGTACGAATGCTGTCATCATTTGCATAGCAAATATGCCCAACTAGCCAGTCGGGCTGGTAAAAATAACATAAATTTTGCCAATTGTTTGTGTTTGACTGCCGGCTTTATCGAATTTGTTTGAATGTCCACAGTTTTGTGATTATGGGGGAGGCTTGTTATACTATTTCTATTATTGAAATCATAATTCCCATGATTTATGCTAATGGCAAAACATCTTTGAGGCGCCATTGGAGCACATAATTTCGTTAGCTGAACGTGTCGTGTGGGTGTTTGGGTGTATGTTGATTTCCTTGTTAGTGCACATTGCCTTGAAGTGACACTGAATTGGGGAGTGCCAGTAGGCCCGACCCGAAATTGCTTTTAACGTGATGGGCAAATGGATTTGCAATGCTGGCAAACATTTGATGTTCAAGCTTTCACTTTAATCGAATTAATATGCAGGCCTAGTAAAATCAATGCATTCAAATAAATCAAACATTTAGTTAGACTTAGACATGTAATATGAAAAGAATCGAATGCGTATATTTCATTTGCACTCCAGCTACGTATATACTGAATAATCGTATGATTTTGTAGGAATTAAGAAATGTTTGTCAATACGCATTGGCCAGACAGGCAAATAATTTCCACGTATATTTGCCGATTTACACAATTTACCGCTAGAAATCATAGATTACGTTTATAATAATAAAGCAGGAAATTATATCAAGAAAATGGCATCATGAATGCTAAATTATTATGTGATTATAAAACTGCCTTCAATGCCTATTATTCTCCGTTTGCCAGCAACTTGAAAATGGCTTTAAATCAGTTGCAAGTAGAAAATGGAGACTAAAAAGCATTTCTATTAACTATAGGAGTTTATTTGTTGTTAATTTCCAAACATTTTTGACAACACTATATATAAAATCGAGCCAGCCTGTAAAAGATTTGACAAGTAATTGAAAAAATTAAGACCGTAAGCAAAAAACATAAACAAATTAAAAGTGGACATGTATAGGAAGTTAAATATACTATTAAAAATCAAGTAAATAAAAGATTTTATTCTTTTTCTTAGAACTATACTAGTGTCTAAGAATCAGCCTTAAGCCAAAAAAAAATGTTATTTAATGTAGGAGAATTAAAATAAGGATGACATTAGAAATGTAAGCGAGTGTTTCTTTCTTAAGGAAATATATTTGCACTAAGGGAGTTAGCCCTAATAATAGCTTTATAGCATGCATTACCTCGTTTTGCAATTACCTTAAGTACTGGAGAGTTTAGAAATAAGGAAAATATAACTTGCTTTTAATTTGTTTAAATTTCTCTCTCAACTTTTGTAATTTTCTATTGAAAACGTCGAATATTCTCTTTTTTCCAAGCACTGTCAGTATAAGTATGCATTCATAAACTAAATTCTTACTAAGCTTCGTTGAAGCACAAGCACAACCACAAGCACTTAATCCTGTTTGGTGAATATCTCTGCTTCGAGCATTAATTTATTCCCTTAAAATGCATGCCAAGCATTTGCCGCAAATATATCTGAGCACATAAATATTTCATACAATTTTATCAAAGTAATGTCAGCAATTTTAAAATGCATGAGGCGCGCTCTTAAAACCAATGCCAGCAACGGCATAAAAGAGCATAAATAAACGAAATAAAGGAGTAGAAAAGGCACACACACACACACACATATATATGTATATATAAATATATATGTGGTATTCACTGCACCAGACCTACCAGAGAGGAAGCAGGCACTTCAAAATGCGAAAAGTGTGAAAATTATGCGTTCAATGAAAATATTTTACAACGCACAAAAGTCTCGAGAGGATCTGCCTGCCTGAGGAGGAGTGTGCACCGCATGCCTGAATGCCCGAGTGTGTCCGTTCAAATGCTGTAAGCCTTTATAATCCAACGGCCATGCAAAATATGCTCCGTGCGCGCTCTAGCTGGGGGCGGGGGCCAGGGAGCGACTACAGCTTAGACGAAGTGTGACCACAATGCAATTTTGTGGTTTTAACAGATACAAAAACATGCACCCAGACTGCTTAGAATGGTGGGCTATGAGGGTAATATGTACCATACAAGTATAGTATGGTTATATGGATGTATGGTAGTGACATGTTAGGACATAGCCCCACACAGCCAGCCAGCCAGCTCACAGCTCACTTGAATGCGCAATCAGCGGGAGACACCAACAGAAGGGGTTCACGAGAAGAGGGAGAGTGGGGCAGAGAAGTTGCAGCACGCATTATGTGTGCACGGTAATAATAAAATTGTCAAGCTCATAAATATGATATATATTTGAAATAAATGGTCAACGACAAACATTGAGCATTCAACAATGATACTGTAATAATTTACTAAAAAGAACATGAGAAACAAAACAGCAAAAAGAAACAACAAAAATAAAATATTAAAGCGTTTGAGATCATTATAAATAATTTTGAATATGTTTTTGAAATCTCTATATAACTTACAATAATAAGTTCCTATTCATCTTTATTTTTAATCTTTATTCTTTTTATTTAAGATCTGTCCTTGGACAATTATTAAATTTTATGATAGCTTCGACAATTTTGTTATCATGCTTCTAGACATGATGGTTGCAGCGTGATTCGATCCTAGTACCTACTCACTCAAAAGGAATAAATCACATTGTGGGATTCCTGCTAGCTCGTTGAGCTATAACAGGCCCCTACAAGAGTTTTCGAGGACAACTTTCCTATCTAAGAAAATCAATATGGTTGAGAGAACTTCAAAATGTATATTAAAAAAGTTGATTTTTCAAAAAAGATATTTAAGTTACATATGCCAACGCCTTTTTCATTCACAAGGCAGTCCGATAAATCATTTTCTGGAATACTCTTCAGTACTTTCAAATCTGTGTAAATTAGAATAGAATAGAAATCTCTTGGAGCCAATTCAGGCAAATTTATGGTGAAGGAAGTTATGGCGAAGTTGCAACGAAGATAGATTTGGAAAAAGAAGGATTGACTTTTACGAGCCACAAAAATTCTCTAAACATGTTGTTAGCTGGTCTATTAGAAATGCCAATATCATCACACATTAGGGTTATGTGTATGCACAATAGAGCACTTTATTAAATACAAAACCTTCAGCAGGGTTAGTTTATGTCTTAAATTTATAAAGTATATGTATTAAAAGAAGTTGCCCTAATATTGATGCCTAATAAATAGTTAGAGCAAATATTCGTTTAGTAAGATAACTTAAATGGCGCTAAAAAGAATTGCCCTAATATTGATGTCTACTAAGTAGTTGCTTAAGAAAAAGTAAGCATACAACATCAGAGTATTGTATTAGCTGCCTTCAAAATGTAACTACAGCTTTAGAAACTGCCTATCTGTAATTACATAAAGGGACATTCAGCTTACGTCATGGAGCGAGCACTGTAGGAGCAATATGCGCACATACATATATGTACGTGAATACAGACCCATATGCATTTGCTGGCACAAGCCAGATAACCAGTTGACCGCATTGCCGCCTCCTGACCGATGCAGCCAGGCAACGCATCAGCTCCTGCACCACAGCTGCGCTTGCCACAACAACCACATCATTTTTTGAGGTCAAACTCGTAGCTCACACCCTGAAAGGACAATGACAGCATCAGCAGCAACAGGAGCCAGCAGGAGCAGCTGCTGGCCAACATTGCTTTGTTGGGGTCGAGCTTTTGTGCGTGCCTCAGACAGCAGAACTTGCCGCACATTCTACTTGTATGCGCGTTGGTCACTGACTGATACTCGTACATACACACACATACCGACTAGTTATTGTTTGTTGGTTGAAATGCACTGTGGAGGTTTTTCATTATCGGCCACCGGTATTTGCTATTATTTTTTCCTCTTTTTTTTGTTTTTGTATTCTCTCATAACATTTTCATTTATTTATGCAGTGTAGTGTGTGTTTAATGAACTTTGGTTTTAGTTCTATGTGGCATCTCATTGCGCGTGCTATTACAATTTTTTTTATTCTAGTTGTTGCTATCGCACATACGCATCGTTGCGCGCATTAAAACTTGTTTAAAAGTTGGTCAGCAGAAGGAGTAGTTGAAAATTGTTGCACACAGGACAAAACTATTTTTCAATTAGCTTCTCCTTAAAGCAAATAACTGTTTATGTAAAAATAAAAAGTCATGCACAAATGCTAAACTACACGATTTAACTCCCCATCTGACAGTAAAACAAATAGCAAAGACTAGACTAGACTAGCCAATCACACAATATTGTGCATGCTTAGATGAATTGTGAAAAGCCTGTTTTGAACTCCAATTGGACAAGTTTGGCAAAGTGTAATAAAACCCAAACACATAATGTTTGTTCAAGTCATTGGCAAATAGCATACAACTTCCTTTTGTGGCATACGATTTGTAATTAATAGTAAATATATATCGATTTTTTCGTAGTACGGGTATGTGTGTGTTTAACCAACCCAAGGCAAACAGAAGCTTCTCTTAGCAACCCTGTCTGCGTGTCTGTTTTAG